AGACTAGACCTTGGTGAGCTGATTATTCCTGTTGATGTGTATAATATACTTTATTAATTTGGGTCATGAATACTTTTAAAATTTCCTTCTTTTTCCTTTTCCTTTTCCTCTTCCTTTTCCTTTTCCTTCGACAGGGTCTTGCTCTGTCGTCCAGGCTGGAATGTAGTGGCGCAATCATGGCTCACTGTAGCCTCAACTTCCCAGACCCAAGTCATCTTCCCGCCTCAAGCTTCCCACGTAGCTGGGATCATAGGCATGCACCACACCATGCCTGGCTAATTTTTTTTAATTTTTGTAGAGACGAGGCCTCGCTATGTTGCCCAGGCTGGTCTCAAACTCCTGGGCTCATGGACTCCTCCTGCCTTGTGCTGGGATTATAGGCGTGCTGGGATTATAGGCGTGACCCATCATGCCTGACCAAATAACCATATTTCACGGATGATACATTGACCTGTTGTCTGCTTAAATCCCTTAATCTGTTTTAAGGAGTCTGCTGGTTGCTGGATGCTCAACCACTGTGTATGTGTATGGTTGACTTTTAAAAATTATGGGCAGGGTCGGGCGTGGTGGCTCACACCTGTAATCCCACTACTTAAGGAGGCCAAAGTGGGCGGATCACCTGTGGTCAGGAGGTCAAGACCAGCCTGGCCAACATGGTGAAACCCCATCTCTACTAAAAATACAAAAATTAGCCGGGCATGGTGGTGGGTGCCTATTATTCCAGCTACCTGGGAGGCTGAGGCAGGAGAATTGCTTGAACGCAGGAGGCTGAGGTTGCAGTGAGCTGAGACCACGCCATTGCATTCTAGCCTGGGCAACAAGAGCGAAACTCCATCCCAAAAAATTAAAAATTAAAATTATGGGCAGGACTGCATATTTGTTTTTATTATATTCAGCCTAAAATTTCACTTCATTTAAAACCATTGGGGTATTAAAATCTATATTTTCTCTAGCATTTGTAGTCACTCAGCTACTGTAGTTATCTTTTAAATTGGAAAAAAAAGTTTAAATGTTGCATATATTTAACAATTCTAAAATATTGACAGTGTCCTATTTTAGCAAGGCACTGACCAAGTTCATCATAAAAGATTAATACTGCACATTAAAAAAATTAAATTAGTTACATGTCTGTGTTCACAAGCTCAAAACTTCATCTGTCAAGGTTTAGAAATAACAGGGTAATGGTAACGTTACTTTTCTGGGATAGCTGGTTTTTAAAATAATAACAGTGCAGCAGATACCACGCACAAGTTATATTGAATGTTGTGGAATATGGCACTATGATGGAAATAAAAAACACACCCAAGCTTTCTACGTAGCTGGGAGGATCTTAGTTTATTTATTTACCTTTTCAGTGTTTTTTTTTTTTTTTTTTTCCTAGTAAGGTGGTAAGGATTATGGATGTGCAATCCACCAGCGATAAACAATTAGAGGATGTAACAGTGATTTTTGTGGAGGGTATTGCTTTTATCCTCCTTGCTGCAATTTTATTATTTTTATAGGCTTTTCATTTATAAACATAAGAAATTTTGCTTTCCTAATATTTAGTATATGGATTGAATATTAAGTTGTTTTTAGGCTTTAAGAATTATCGAGGTCTATACTGTCCAGTATGGTAGCCATTAGCCACATGTTTATTTAAATTTAAATATTAAAATGAAACAATTTGAAAATTGACTTGTCCACTTGCCCTAACCATGTTTCAAAGTGCTCAGTAACCACATGTGTCTAGTGACTACTGTATTGGACAGCACAGATCATAGGGTATTTGTATCATTGCAGAAATTGCTCTGTTGATTGCTGATGCAACCACAAATGATTTTCTTTCAAATTTCTGACTATCCTTACACTAAAGGTATGGAATGAGTCCCAGGGGGAAAGTGTAATCATTCTTTAATGATTTTTTGTTTGTTTGTTTGTTTTGAGACTGAGTCTAGCTCTGTCGCCCATGGTTGGAGTGCAGTGGTGCGATCTCACCTCGCTGCAACCTCTGCCTCCCAGGTTCAAGCAATTCTCTTGCCTCAGCCTCCTGAGTAGCTGGGACTACAGGCGCCCACCACCATGCCCGGCTTATTTTTTTGTGTTTTTAGTAGAGACAGGGTTTCACCGTGATAGCCAGGATGGTCTCGATCTCCTGACCTCGTGATCCGCCTGCCTTAGCCTCCCAAAGTGCTGGGATTACAGGCGTAAGCCACCGCGCCTGGTCCTTTTAATGATTTTTATAAGAATAGAAATAATATAGGTTAATTATGAAAAAATCTCAAAAATATAGAAAAGTAAAATGAACAAAATACAAGGAAGATTCTGTGTGGGACAACTATATAGACTTTTTTTTGCTGTGACACAGCCCTCAGGAGATCCTGAGAACATGTGTCCCTAGACTTTCTTTTTTTAGCACCTGTTTTATATTCCAGTCCTCCTTCTCTGCAGTTGTGTATGAAGATACTGTACAGGGATGATTTTACTTGTATACATTTAAAATTTAAAAAGCAAGAAATAAAAATAATCCTTTTGACTGGAGATATTTTTGCTTTATGGAAGTTTATCTGAACATCGTTCTGAATCTAAACAGTAATTATATATCTTCTGTTATCGTTAGCCTTTTGGGTAAAAATATAAAAATTTCTGTGTTTTATTCTAGATTATTGTATGAGTTAGGAGTATTGGAAATTATCTCAAGTTGTTTATTTTCCTTTAAATGTTCTTTAAAAAGTGTGTTAGATATTTGGCTATATCTGATATTAGAATTACCTCAGATACTTCGAATAAATTCATGAAGTTTCACTATGAAGTGGTAATACAGAGTTCTTGGCAACTTTCTTCTGTCTTTTTGCTCATTTTCATCTCATTTGATGTTTGGCTCTGTCAGCATCGTTGACCACCAACGTTAGTTTGGTAGGTGCATGGCAGCTTTATGGGGAAATTAAGAATTTGTGATTAGCCTGAGTATATGAGTACCTGAATTTAAAATCAACCATTCTGGGTTTTACCTGATTTTATATTTCATGATGATCAGCATTATGTATAATATTAATTTTGGTGTGTTCCTTAGTTTTATGACAAGTAGAAGATAGGCAATTGATGATCAAGGCAGTGGCATGAAGGGTGATAAGAGGAAGTAAACAGTGTTGGCATCTTTTTTGTTTATATCATTAAAGACAATTTGTGTTTATATCTTGAATCCTTTTTACCATGAAAATATAGTTGCTTATAAATTTAATGTTAATCAGCCATATGAAGCTCTCAGAGGAGTAGGAAAGGTTTATAAATAACCTAAGAGTTTTAAAAAATCATACGCTCACTATTATCATGAGAACTTTATTTACAATATTCTTATTCATTTAATGTAAAATTAAGAATTCCATTGTATCCCAGTAATGTTATGTATTTCTCTGATATTATAAAGCACTATAATAAATTGTATTTTTATACTCTAACCATCTGCTAGATAAGAATTATATATGACTTAAGTAAAAAGGATTTTGAAATTTCATACCTTCAGATTATAGTAATTTCTGAGACTTCAGTGTAGCGTTCAGACTTTTTTAATTATAGGGAAGCAGAAAGATTAGTTTTCAGTGATTATGATTTGGTACATGTAGCTAAGAGTAGAATAGGAATTGAAGACAAGTTCTTTTATAAACCCTTAGGCTTTAAGGATAGTAGACTCAGCATAGAATTCGCCTTGTTTAGAATGGATTATCCAAACTTGTTGAATATTTATTTATGTGCTTAGGATAGGTAAATGTTAGGATATAAATTTTTAAACTCTATATTAAAGGCTCTGTATTTTACAGGAGAGGAAAAATGAAGGCATTCGAAGTGAGTACTCTGTCCCACATCACATTTTCTTATCTCAACAAAGTTCTTGAAGTGGTAGTGAAAGTTTTTTATTGTGATAGAAACTAACCAAGTTTCTTTCTTTGTGTGTACCAAACTTGAAAGTGTTCCTGGGAGTATATCAGAGATTTGAGAATTGACACACATTCCTTACTTTAATGACTCTGGGACACATTATTAACAGAGCAATGTTATGGAGCACTGAATTGTTAATGGGAGAAATTTTTACAAAAGTATTGGGAACCTTGAGAGAATTAGAGCTTTGTTATTACCTGTGATGATAAAGAAACAAGTACCTATTGTGTGCCGAACGCTGAGATAAAGCCTTACAGAAGTTTTCTACTTTTAATCCTTTTATCAGCTCTTTGAGTGTTACTAAAATAGAGAGGATAAATTCCCCAGAATCTCCTGTAGCAAATGACAACTGGAATTTGTAGTCAGGCTCTACAACTGGGTTCTTTCCGTTGTTCATTTTCTCCTGCAGTTGTCCTGTGTTATAAAAACTAATTGATACTGTTAAAATAATGTTATTTTTTTCTTTGGGGGAGGAAATGTGAGAAGGAGAGCATATGCTTGTATTGGAGTTAGGAAGTAAGATCAAAAATAGAGTTGGTGTGTTTGAAGTATATCATGTGGAGAAGACAATTGAAAGGGCAGTATATGGTAGTTTAAAACTGGTAGACGTTCTGGCAAAAAGTCAGTAAAAGCAGTTCAGTGTAAATTTTAGGTATTTTTATTACTGTAGAGTTTCTATGAGATCTCACATAATTCAATAAAGTTCTTCCCACCTGTGGGAAAGATGTATATTATTTATATTTGAGAGCATTTTTGTTTATATCAGCAGGGACCACAGTAATAATTTAGACTTTCAACTTATGAATAAAATTATCAAAGTGCTCCTACATTATCTTATTTGGCAAGTATTGTTTCCATGTATAAATGGGAAAAGTACTTATGCCATAACTAGTGGCTCTTTTAATAAATACATAGGGAAGCTGTTCCTTCTATAGAATGCTGTATTGAATATGTCTAAGATAGAAGTGAAATTTTCAATATTGACTTCTTAGGTGATTGAATGGAGGCTATATGCATTATCTTGGGGAGGAAAGGTTTTTAGGGCTTTATTTTTTGCTTACATATTTGTATTTTTTTATTTCTAGGCTGTTCGCTGCTATGAATCTCTAATCTTAAAAGCTGAAGGAAAAGTGGAGTCTGATTTCTTTTGTCAATTAGGTCACTTCAACCTCTTATTGGAAGATTATCCAAAAGGTAATTTTTTTCTTGTTCATTATTGTTTGATTTATACATGTGTTGGATTGTAATTATTTGTGCTTTATCAAGAGGACTTTCCTAAGAAATTGTAAGTGCATGAGCACACTAAACAATGGGAAAGAAAAGTAGAGTAGATGGAAATGGAAAAATGTCATATAACTCCATCTAAATCATCAATAAGTTGGCTATTCAGTAAAAGTGAAAACCACCTGCATGTGCAGTGCAGTTTTGTTCTGCCTTGTGAAAATCCTTGCCCTTGAAAGGCCTTGCCATAGTAGAAAGTGACCTAGTTTGATATAGACATTTGTACATTGATGGATACTTTGGAAAGGTAAGAAAAACTCAGCATTTTTCTTTATCCTATTTAAAACATTTCCATTTTAGCTAAAAAAATACTTGAACGAAAATCTGATCGTTAACTAGCCATGTTATTGTAAACATAAGTAATACAGAGAGATGATCACAGATGAGCCTTGGATAAAACTAGCTTTTAAAATTTACTTGAAATGTTTTTCCTTTAAGAAACAAGTGAGTTAAATAACTGAAAGTAGTCAGCCCCCTAAGATTTGCCCTTTTTATGATACCAAGCTGCCAACTCAGACCATTACTCAGGAAGTTAAAAGCACCCCCAAACCCTGCCCTTCCAATACCAAAGAAAAAATCCACATTAAAAGAAAATTATTATTATAGCCAAGAACATTTTAACCTTTTGATGATAGTGAACATTTTGATGTGGAGTGGATGAATGTGTTACTCCTGTTTTCAACAAGTGTGTTTAGAGGGCAAAACACCTGGCAGATAGTTTCAGGGCTAAAGCGAAGGATTGTTAGTATTTCATATTGATGTTTTATTATGCGACTTTTATGTTAGGTCAAGTGAATGTTTTCCTAATGAAAATGCAATTTTAGTCTGAGACAGGCATATTCTGTGAGGTTTGAACTTAGGCTTTTTTTCTCAGCTCAGCTCTGTTATATACAGCTGCATTACCTTTAAAAGATTATATATCAACATCGCTGAGTATCTGTTGTCTAATCTGTAAAAGGGGGACGAAGTGATGGATGACACCTCATGGATTTTCAGATTATGTGACACTGGTTAGTACTTAGCGAAATGGTTTCAGTCCAACAGGGTAATGGGTGTTAATAATTACTTAATACTCCGTTAGATATTTTATCTTTAATTAAAACTGGAAACTTACTTAAAGGAAACTATTGTACCAAAAAATAGATAGAGGCATACCTGGGAGATATTGCAGGTTTGGCTTCAGACCACTGCAATTTGTTGCGAATATTGTAATAAAACCAGTCAAACAAAATTTTTTTTGTTTCCTATTACATATAAAAGTTATGTTTGCACTGTAAGTGTGCAGTAGCATTATGTCTAAAAAATGTACATACTCTAGTTAAAAAATACTTCCTTGCTAAAAAGTGCTAACAATCAACTGAACTTTCAGCAAGTTGTAATCTTTTTGCTGATGGAGGGTCTTGCTTCGTTGTTGATATCTGCTGAATGATCAGGGTGGTGGTTGCTGCAGGTTAGGGTGGCTGTGGCAGTTTGTTAAAATAAGAAAACATTGAACTTTATTGCATCAGTGGACTCTTCCTTTTATGAAAGGTTTCTCTGTGGCATGTGATGCTGTTTGAAAGCATTTTACTCACAGTAGAGCTTCTTTCAAAACTGGAGTCAGTCCTCTCAAACCCTGCCACTGCTCTGTTAACTAAGTTTACGTAGTATTCTAAATTCGTTGTTATCATTTCCACAATGTTCACAGCACCTTTATTAGGAGTAGATTCCATTTCAAGAAACTCCTTTTGGCCAGGCACAGTGGCTCATGCCTGTAATTCCAGCATTTTGGGAGGCCAAGGCAGGAGGATTACTTGAGCCCAGGAGTTCAAGACCAGCCTGGACAACATAGTGAGACCCTGTATCTTAAAAAAAAAAAAAAAAAAAATTAGCTGAGTATGATGGCATGCAACTACCCTGGAGGCTGAAGTGGGAGGAACACTTGAACCTGGGAGGTCGAGGCTATGGTGAGCTGGGATCATATCACTGCACTCCAGCCAGGGTGACAAGGTCCTCTCTCTCTCTCTCACTCTCTCTCTCTCTCTCTCTCTCTCTCTCTCTCTCTGTCTTTCTTTTTTAAAGAAACTACTTTCTTTGCTCATCTATAAGAAGCAGTTTCTTATCCATTCAGGCTGCACTTCTAATTCTATTTCTTTTGCTGTTTTCCAGCACATCTGCAGTTACTTCCTCCATTGAAATCTTGAACCCCTCAAAGTCATCTATGGGGAGGGATGGGAATCAGCTTCTTCCAAACTCCTGTTAATGTCGGTATCTTGACCTCAAATGTTCTTTTTTTTTCTTTTCTTTTTTTTGAGACGGAGTTTCACTCTTCTTGCCCAGGCTGGAGTGCAATGGCGTGATCTCAGCTCACTGCAACCTCCGCCTCCTGGGTTCAAGCGATTCTCCTGCCTCAGCCTCCCAAGTAGCTGGGATTACAGGCATGCGCCACCACGCCCGGTTTATTTTTGTATTTTTAGTAGAGATGGGGCTTCACCATGTTGGCCAGGCTAGTCTTGAAATCCTGACCTCGTGATATGCCCACCTCTGCCTCCCAAAGTGCTGGGATTACAGGCGTGAGCCACTGCGCCCAGCCTTTTGACCTCAAGTGTTCTTAATGGCATCAAGAATGATGAATCTTTTCCAGAAGGCTTTGAATTTACTCTACCTAGATCCATGAGATTAGTCACTATTTATGGCAGCTATACAGCCTTACAAAATGTATTACTTTAATAAGACTTGAGGCCGAGTGCGGTGGCTCACGCCTGTAATCCCAGCTCTTTGGGAGGCCTAGGTAGGTGGATTACCTGAGGTCAAGAGTCGAGACCCATCTGGCTAACATGGCGAAACCCTGTTTCTAATAAAAATACAAAAATTGGCCAGGTGCGGTGGCGCACGCCTGTAGTCCCAGCTACTCAGGAGGCTGAGGCAGGAGAATCACTTGAACCCAGGAAGGGGAGGTTGCAGTGAGCTGAGATCGCGCCATTGCACTCCAGCCTGGGTGACAGAGTGAGACTCCGTTTCAAAAAATAAATAAATTTAAAAAAAAGACTTGAAAGTCAAAATTACTCCTTGATGTAGGCTGCAGAATGGATGTTGTGTTAGCAGGCATGAAAACAACATTAATCTGCTTGTACCTCTCCATCAGAGCTCTTGGGTAACTAGGTGCATTGTCAGTGAGCAATAATATTTTGAAAGGAATCCTTTTTTCTGAACAATAGTTCTCAATAATGGGCTGAAAATATTCAATCAACTGTGCTGTGAACAGATGTGCTGTCATTCAGACTTTGTTGTTCTATTTATAGAGCATAGACAGTAGATTTAGCATAATTCTTAAGGTCCCTAGGATTTTTTGAATGGTAAATGAGCAATTGCTTCAACTTAAAGGCGGCACCACCAGCATTAGTTCCTAACAACCACTGTGTTAGACTATGACTATAGCTTTATTTTTCATATATATATATATTTATATTTATTTTATTTTATTTTGAGACAGGGTCTTGCTTTGTCACCCAGGCTGGAGTGCAGTGGCAGAAACATGGTTCACTGCAGCCCCAAACTCCTGGGCTCAAGTGATTCTCCTGCCTCAGCCTCCTGAGTAGCTGGAACTAGAGGTGTGCGCCACCATGCCTAGCTAATTTTTGTACTTTTTGTAGAGACAGAGATCTTGCTTTGTTGCCCAGGCTAGTCTTGAACTCCTGGGCTCCAGCAATCCTCCTGCCTCAGCCTCCCAAGTGTTGAGATTACAGGTGTGAGCCACCATGCGTGGCTACTTATAAAAATTTTGGTTATGAAGGTAATGAATCCAGGGAGATTCATCTTGGATATGTGTTTTCTTTTTTGGAAGGGAGGGCATGTGACAACTAGACTGTGTTAGCAAACTAGCTGGTGAGAGTAATCTAGTAAGGTGAGAGAAGGATAATCTAAGGATTTAAGTCCTTGAAAACATGTGCTTCGTTTTGTGTTGTGTAGATGACCTGGACATTGATAGGTAGTCAACAGCTTGATTAATGTGTAGGAGAAAATGGGTGCAGGGGTATGCAGATGTATTCAGTATATTTTAACATTTCAAGCTGGTGGTTTTCTGTTTCCTAGATGTGTTTTGGTATTTTTTAAAATCCTTTTTGAGGCTTTTTAAGGCATGTTTCCACTTAAAATGAATTCTTTATCTGTTTTCTTCATCGTCTTTCTGCAAGTCCAAAACTAGAATCGGTCTCTAATAGCCCTCTCCCTTCCTCTCCAACACATACTCATACCCTCAAGATTACCTGTTTATAGAGACATTTGTTACCTTTGGCTGCTTCCTCCTCCTCTCTTTGGAACTAGTACAGGATTAGAGAACTACTAACCCTGGGCAAATAGACATTTCTTTTTAGAGAACACGTTATAAACCATAACTTCCTGGGAGTAAACCATATAGTAAACATGTAATTCTGTGAGTGAACTGCTCAGGTATATGTACATAGGAGACTTACTGGCCTTGTTTTTCTGAAGACAGCCCTGTAATTCTTTGCCCTGATTCATAGTCATCTTTTCTGTGTAAAGTTTTCTGAGCTTGTCATTTCTCTTGAGTTTAGTTCCTTTAAAAAAAAAAAAAAGGCTTCTATTTCTATAGTAGAAAATGGTAGAACCTCTTTTGTGTGTGTTTTGGGCTGTGGTTTTTCTTACCCTTAGTTGTCATTTTGCTCTCATCTACTTTCTGTCTTACAAGAATTCCAAAAAAAAATTTTGGTCTGAAGATGGTATAATTTGGTAATCATTTATCTTTTCTGTCATTCCAGATGAATTTGATGCAGAAGGAAAAAAGGCTTTGTAAAATATTTTCTTAGCCTTTCTGGCTGGTGATATGAATGAATAGTTTAAAAAAATATGCTGTCACTTTATTTGGTCACTTTGTTTGTAGGAATTTATTTTAAGTCTTAAAATAGTAATTAGAT